TCCCATATCTAGGTGGAGGGTGCTCCTGACGCAGGCTAGGCACCTCATTCACGGAAAAAGAGGGGCAAATTGCTGTGGGGGTGGAAGAAGAAAGACAGACAGGAGGTTCTGGAATGGGCTTGGCCTTCGGGGGAGGTGGCTGTGTTTAAACTGTTCTGGGCACCCTTACTGGCTCCACTTTCATGTCTGGGTGGGTGGCACCATTGCTAAAGGAAAGCTCAGTGCCAGGTGCTGAAGGAGACAAGGGCCAGGGTGGCAGCACATCTACCAGAGGCCAGAGGTCCCTGCTGCTAGACAGGGTCATAGCCTCACCCCCTACCCAACAGAGCCCAACCTTAGGTGAGTAGAAGCCCCTTTCATTCCAGAAAAAAGCCCCCCTCAATCCCTGGATATAGATATCTATAAAAGACCCACAGACTGGGATTGCCAAGATGTTATAGTCTGAATTATTCACCCAAAATAAAATTTATGTGTTGAAACCTTGTTCCCAAACACCCCAGACTGGGACTGTGTTGGAGACAGGGTCTTGACAGGGATGATAAAAGCCAACAGGTCACTCAGGGAGCTTCATCTAATCAGACTGTGTCCCAATAAGAAAAGGTCAGGACACAGGCATGCACAGAGGGATGACCACGTGAGGACACAGGGAGAAGATGTGTATACAAGCCCAGGAGAGCGGTGTCACAGGAACCAGCCTTGTGACACCTTGATCTTGGACTTTGGGCTTCCAGGACTAAGAGGACATAAATTCCCATGGCTTAAGCCACCATCTGTGGTCTGTCCAGGCAAACCTATGTGCTGGAAAGCCTGTGGTCCTGGGGGTTGCCTGTGGTCTGTTGGCAGCCCACCTAGCCCTCTCTCACACATGATCCCCCACTTGGCACAGGCTGGCAATGCTTCAAAAGCAAGGCAAGGAAGGCCATGCTTTGTCTGAGGCCTTTAAAGTGGGAGACCTTCCCAAGAAATGGTGCAGAGAGAACACTAGGATTAGCAGAATTCCTGCCCTCTTCCACCCCGCCCCAGTGTGCAGGGAGGGTCCTGCTGACCATGGGTAGCAAAGGTGGCGGTTGGGTTGTGAAGCTAGTGGGATGTGTTGTGTCAGCTGTGGACTGGCCTCCTGTCTGACCAACAGTGTTCTTGGGTCACACTCCGCTAGGCTTGTGCAGTACAGGATAAGGGCTGAGTCAGGATGGTGTAGGTTCAAGGCTGGGCTCAGCCCCAACATTGGCTGTTTTCCCTTGAGTCTCATTGTCTCCTAGCTCAAAGGGCCACTGTTCCACTGGATAAGCTGATGCAGGTAAGTGGTGGAACCTGAAGGGAAGGGCAGGAGGCTTGGTGGATCAGGGGAGGGAGACTGCCTACCCATAGGATGCAGGGAGCCTGGAAAGAGGACCTTGCTTCTGCCTGCCAGTCTCCAGCATGTGCTACCCCCACCCCCGGCTCCACCTTTCTCATTTGAGCCTCATGAGGATCCCTAGAGGTCAGCTTGGTCATTCCCTGTCCAGATGACAAACATCTCCTATGTGGGAACCCCTGTATCCAAGGCCTTGTGGACAGTGGCTCTACCACTGGCTTTGAGCAAAAGTCTGTGTGGCTGGTAATGGCCTGGCCTCTGCTACCAGCTGAAGGATGCAGGTCTGGATCCTTTCCCTGGGACAGCCTGGTGCCCACAGTGTCCCTGCTGAGCAGCTCCAGCTCCAGCCACACTCGCCCAGACCCTCGGGGCCCCCCGAAGACTGTGAAGTCTTGGAGGAGAAGCACAGCCCTACCCTCCAGGTGCTCCCTGGGCTGATGCACAAGATTGGAAATTCTACCCTATGAGGAGGGGAAGCACCTGGCTGTCTCAGGGCTTCACCCTGGGAAATGCTGGCCAGTTCTCAGCCAGGCAATGACTTCAGGAAGCTTGTGTGGCCCCTAGGAAGGCTGAGGAAACATGGACTGCATAATAAGGCAGCCTGGATGGCTGCTATGGTGCTCTGTCCAGGACCATGACTCTGCCACTTGAAAATACATAAGCAGGTATGGTAGCACAACTTGTAATCTCAGCACTTGGGGAAGTTGAGGCAGGAGGATCTCAGTTCCAGGTTAGCCTAGATTACATAGTGAAACAACAAAACAAACACCACAAACAAACAAAAATCCCTGCAAAGACATGAACAGAAAGGGACAGCAATAGAAGGAGAATTCGATGACAGGTGCATGCCACCCTCTGCTGGGTGTCACAGGGCACACACAGAGATATGGGCAGTGCATGTGGCTAGCCAGGGCATACAGGATAGCCTTTCCATGCTGGAGTGCCAAGGCAGATGCACAAGGATGTGCTGGACGGGAGCTAGTATGAATTATGGAAGACAAGACAACACACATACAAATACAGGGCCACCCTCCCAGAGGAGCTGGAGTCAGGGAGCCATATTGCAGGCCAGTGTGGAAGAGACCCAGGGCATTTGCTTACTGCAGACTCTCTAGCACCTGCAGTCGTGTTGGCAGAATGTGTGCAACAGTCAGATTTCTAAGGACTCTCCATTTAAGTTGGGGCAAGAGGGCACAGGAAGAGCCTGGGTTTGGGGACAATCTCGGCAGATCATTGTCAGAGCCTGGGCAGGGTGGGACGATTAGTATCTTTCCAACTGAAGGCAGGCATTTTTGGTCCAGATGACATGAGAAAGTAAGCAGCCTGGGTGTGGGAATCCAGTGTGGAGACCTGGTATAAGTCCTGGCCTGCCATGGATGAGTTGGTGCTCTGGGTAAGAACTTCGCCCTCTCTGACCCCCAGCTTCCTCATCTCTCAGTGACAGGAATCCCTGCCATTTCATGGAACTGACATAGGCATGGGTGGAGAGAGGTCGGCAGGGTCTAGCCGAGCACGGTACAGGCCTCAAGGGGCAGCTGATATTCTTAGGTTGTTTCCGACAGAATTCTAATAGTGACTGATAGGACAGTTCTCCTGCCATCCTGGGTGGACAGACCAGGCTGCCAAGTTTGGGAACTTTTCTGAGCTTCCTGGTAGGGTAGAAATGTGACTCTTCACTCGGTCACTGGTTAGAAACCAAGTTTGTCAGCTTGGCCAGTTCACCACATGGCTTGCTCTCTGGAGCGGATAACATGCATCTGTCTGTGAGTTCCTATGCTTCTTGTCATTCCTGAGAGGCAGTGATAGTTCCAGGGGAACTCAGTGGCCACGTGACTTTCTGCTCTTGAGGCACCAGTTTCATTAACCCTGGATGACGTCCAGATGGCAGTTCTAAGTGACAAGTGTCTACAGGCCTAGCTGACAGGCAGAGATGCATGTGTGTGACTGTCAGATGAGAAACCCCACGTGTGCTTGGGGAAAAGGACAGTGTTCTCAAAGCTGGAACCAGAAAGTCTGCCCTCCCTGCTGATAACCAGGTCACTGACCTGTGTCAGCACCCCTGATTGGAGGGGAGTAGCTGGCCTTCCTTTTTCCAGGATGAGGGGATTTGGGGCAGGAGCACAGGGATTGTTATACAGAAGTTCTCAGTATTGAAGTGATAGGAAAAAAAAGGACCAGAGGTGCACACGCACACACACTTCACATACACACACAAACACAAGCACACACACGTACACACATACACACATGCACATTCAGAACTCACACACATACACATTTCCCTGATCACATATATGATTTATGCAAGCTAAAACACAATTAGAGAACAAAGAAATACAAAAACTAGCACCAAAACTTGGCTTTACTTACTGGACCTCAAGCACACCTGAGTCCATGTGTACAGACCTCTCACTCTCTTCTCTGCAATTCATGACACCTCTCAGTGGGTAGGCAGCACAGGAGGAGAGTCGAGTTTAGCCTTAGTTAGCGCCTGCAACCTCCCAACTCAAACCACAGCAGTGGGCCATCTCAGCAAACTCTTGACTGCCTCTCCCTCCCTTTCCAGGATGATGGGAATTGAAGGGCATTTGGGGAATTTCACGGGGTCTGGAGATGTAACTGGAGAGGAGAGTCCCAGCCCTGTCTCTCACCATCCAGGGCTGGCTGAGTGTTTGTTCAAAGGCAGTGTGGATAGCTTGAAAGCCTCCTTAACTCACTTTGATTCCTCCTTTCTAAACACAAGCCCAGCAGCCCTCTGATGGGAGTGAGTCAGAGAGGCCTGGGGAAGCCTAGGGAAGACTCAGCCCCTTTGGAGCTGCAGGCTACTTGCTTGGGGGAGACCATACAGAGCCCAAGGAACTGAAGGGGGAACCCCACTCCCTTTTCCAGCAGTCAATTCCAGAAAGAGTCTTTTTTGGTTTGCTTTTTGTTGCAGAGGGATGGGCCACCGGGGAGCAGGCAAGAGGGCCGGGTGGGGGGCGTGGTTTGGAGCTAAACTTGGCCTGATTAGTAACCCAGATGTTCCATGTCCGTTTGGGGCCCTCTTCGGAAGTTGAACCCCAAATGGGTGCCCATGCCAATCTGCAGTTTGGGGACTGTGGAGGTCGCGTCCCGTCCTCTGTTTGACATGTTGGCTACAGTCTTGGGCGCCCCATCTGGTTGGATTGGAAGTTTAGTCCCCACCCAGAAGGGATGCTCCTACGTCCTCCACGTAAAGAGAAAGTCAGAAGGGGAAGCCGCAACTCTTTTATTTTGTTTAAAACGTTTTTTAATCCAAAGTGATCAAACTGGGCTCTCTCGTACTGGTTCTTGGAGTCCGGCCAGGTGCGGGCACCTGGGGGGTGGGAAGGGCGGGAGACCAGGGTGGGCTGCTGGACACCACAGCCATCCCCGGCCCGCTGGCCGCAAGCAGCCAGAAAGAGCAGGGGCGCCACACCCGCCCCACGTCCGCTCCCGCCCCGGGCCAGCCCCTTCCTCGCTGCAACTCGCCCGCTGTCCCCACCCCCTCGCCGGCGGCGCCCAGTGGGAGGCGGGGGCCGGCCTCGCCGAGCCCAGCGCCGCGCTCTGATTTGCTGCGGGCGTTGGGGATCGACAGCCTCCACGGGTGTCTGCCAGGACAGAGGGAGGGAGGGAAAGGGGGAAAAAGTGCAGGGCGCCCAAGGCGAGGTCCGCACTCCTCGTCCCCGCGGCTGGCGCAGGACCTCACTCCAGCGGAGCGCCCACGGGGAGCGGGTCGCGGGGCGGCGGCGGCGAGGAGGAGGCGAGAAGGACTTGGAGGCGGAGGAGGTGAAGGCCAGGGCGAGCGAGCGAGCGAGCGAGAGAGCGAGCGGGGTCCCGGCCGCCCCGCGGGCCAAAGTCGACCCTCCTGCCCGTGGGCGAGCGCGCCGACCGCCCCTTCCAGAACAGCCACCGCCGCAAAGAAGACCGGGCAGGCGCCGAGCTCCCTATGACTTCCTAAAGTTGTACGGTCCTCGCTGCTGCGTCCGCCGCCCGGGCCGTGCCCCGCGCCCCCGTACGTCCCGTGCGCCCCCAGCGCCCCTGCGCACCCCGGCCCGCGCCCCGCCGGCATGGACGTCCACACCCGCTGGAAAGCGCGCAGCCCGCTCCGCCCGGGCGCCCCGCTGCTGTCCCCGCCGCTGCTCCTGCTCCTGCTCCTGCTGCTGCTGTGGGCGCCGCCTCCGAGCCGCGCAGGTAAGGGCGCTCCGGGGCGCGCGGGCCGCGGGGGGCTGCAGGACGCGCGCGCGGGGCCCTGGCGCCGCTGTCATCCCCTGGCGCCTTCGCCGCCGGCCTCTTCCGCGCCTGCAGAACATTTCCCGCTTGGCTTGTGGAATGCACGGGCCAAGACAACGAATGCCATTCGTTGGGGGCCCGGGAGAGGGAGACGCGCCAGCACAGTCCCCGCAGGCGCGCCGCCCCCTCCCCAAAAGGCGGGCTGGGTGGGGCTGTCGCGCAAGAGACCGAAGGGCCGCGTGTTGGATCGGCCAGAGATGGACAAACTTTTGTTCCGAAACCTTGTGCTCTGTCTTACATCACAGGCGCCCCACTTCAGCCCACACAGTCCTACAGCAGAATGTCCGCTGCTGAAAACCGGGAAGGGTCGCCCCCTAGAGTCCAGCCCATCCATTCTGGCGTCGGGGGGAATCCCAGAAGTTTGAGTCCCCAGCATCGGACTTCCTTCATGCGCACTCTCGCTCTAGGCTGGGCTGGCTCTCTGCTTTCCCAGGGGACAGGGTTTCTGGCAGTCCCGAGACCTAAGTGTTCAGGGCACTGGGGATTCCAAGGGGGTGATAGACAACCTTTTGACCCCTGGAAGGCAGGTTTTTTGGGGGGGTGGGGGAGGTGGAGTGGGGAGAGGTTATTGCTGCCCAAAGAAGGGATGCATGGGGCAGAGCCAGGAGAGGGCCCTGGAGTCTGGCTGACAGTGGCTCAGATGATCTGCAGATGTGGTTCTCCTCCTGCCAGGGTGAGCCCTTAGAAGGGCCCTGCTTCCGGGAGGGCTCTGCAGGCTGACTAACCATCCCTGCCTGGATTCCTGTAGTTCCTGCTGTTCCAAGTGCTCTGAGGCCCCACTTTATGGTGGGAGTGATATCTAAACAGGATGCCCCAAGGCATCCTGGCTCTCTTCGACAGGTGGGGAGGTGAAGGCTATGGGTTGCTGGTGCAAGGCAGGAAAGAGCAGTGGGCAGACGGATGGGCCGTTGGGCACATGGACAGCTGGGTGGGCCAGGCCTTGCCCAGAGCTTCTCTAGTTTGTGATTTGGAGCCTAGTGGAAAGAAGTACTTTGAGTGATCCACTGCCAATTAAAAGCCTTTTCCTTTTTCTTGAGCGTGATTAGCACTCTGTGGGCTCAAGGGATGAGGAAGAGTGGTGTGCGGGGTTCCAGGGGCACTGGGCAGGAGTGTGAAGCCTGGCCTGGGCTCCAGGGCCTGGCATCTTACTCCTGGGCTTCTGCTCACCCCTTGTAATTTGGGGCTATCTGGCTGTCCTTTTCCAGGGGCCAGTTGGAGGTGGGGGGACAAAAGGCCCCCAGAAAAGTAGTGTGGAAGAGAGCAAGAGGATGTGGTCAGGAGACTGGAGACTCATCCCTAGCTGTAGCTCCTCCAGCGGGGTTTCCCCAGGACCTCAGGAGGGAATCCTTCAGTGGAATACTCACCCGCAGGCTGGTGCTGGCACGTGTGGCTGATTGTGCATTCCGAATTTGGACTGTTTGCTGTGTCCCTCTGTCTGCTGCCTCCTGCTCGTCTGCCCTGCTCTACCATACTCGGCTGTCCTCTTGAGATGCTGGGGAGGCGGGATAAGCCCCCGGTAGGCCCCAGTTCTCTTCTGCCTCTTGGGACCTGCCAGATGTTTTCTGGGTTTTCTGTGAACACAGCTCATTTTCTACCTTCTTGGCCAAGTGTGTTCAGGAGTGAAAAGTCAGATTGCATTCGGCACGGCTTAATGTCCTAACAGGGAAGGAAAGTATGGGAAATGAAACGTGACCCCAATATTTGGAAATTGAGGTCATCTCTTTGGCACGTGATTGGTGGGCTCCAGTCATGTGATTGCTTTTTGCAATAATTTGCGGGGGGAGCCGGCCAAGTTTTGCGAGACCTGACAGCTATGGAGTGGTTGAATTTCCCCTGACTCAGTTAGCTGGCTGTAGGGACATCCTTGACCCCTCTTTTCCCCCCATAAAGACAAGTCGGTAGAGGAGCCCAGCTGGGGTCAGCGAGTTGCCTGAGGAAGCCCTCTCCCTGACTCTGCTGTTTCTTTGGCTGGAAGGTTGGAGCTGCTGTCCCTGCAGGAACTGTGACCACCCAGCTGTGGCCAGCAGGGTGTCTGGTACAGAGCTCCCAGCCTCTTTCCTGATGATGTTGCCCCAGGGGCTGTTCCTGGGGTGCTGGCCAGAGCCTGCCTCTGTGCCCCACCCTGCAGATATTTCTGGATGCTCCCCATGACCACGCCCTTAGCCTAACACAGCTGATGCCCTCCGCCTATCCCGGTCTGCTGGCTGCAGGCCTCTCCTTGTTCTTGCTTCTTCCCTCCGCAACCCAGCCCTCTCTTCCTGGGTTCTAGGCTTTGTCTAGTGGGGGTGAGGTTGAGGTTCTGACCCCCTGCTTTGCTCTTCATAGCACTGACTGTGTTTGGAGTCTGGGGGGCCAGGAATGAGTCACTCCTACCCCGGGACACAGGGTTTGTTACACCCATTGTGGGGTCTGATGCTTTCCTGGCCCAAGGGGCGCCGTGCTACATCACCCTGCTGGACCCTCACACAGGCTTCAGAGGGGACAGAAGCCCAGAAAGGCCAAGGGCCCTCAGGGGCCCAGACCCTAGGGGAATAAGGTGTCCACTTGGGCAGTGCAGTGTTTGTTCTACCCCCAACCTGTCTCTTCCTGCCCTCCTTTCTTCCTTCCCCTCCCTCTTTTCTTTCCTTTCCTTTTCTTTTCTCTCTCTTCTCTCCCCCTTCTTCTTCTCTCTCTCTCTCTCTCTCTCTTCTCTGTCCTCCTTCTTTCCTCTTCCCTCCCTCTCTCCTTGGGGAACTCTGTGGCTCTATGGTACGAGTCTCAGTCTCCCCCACTCCCTTTTGGCAACCAGGCCTCTTCACGGTCAGCGGAATCTGCACTGCCAGCTTTCGCCTTTGCACTTGGGAGGTCATGGGGAGATGGTCCCCTTCTAGAAGTGGACATCTTTTGTTTTACCCTAAGGCCCACCTTGGACATGCTGAGTCCTTTGGAACAGCCTGGAAGGGTTAACTCCACCAGTTGCCTGAGGCTTCCTGGAGGAGGTGGTGTTGGACTTCCTTTTCCTTGCCTTTTATTACAGACACCCCCCCTCCCCACCGCAAAGGGGAGGTTCATCCACCTCTGGTTTTAATCTCACCCTGTCTCTCCTTTCTGAAAGGACATTCCAAACTGTCCCGGGGGGCTTGCCTGGGCTGCTTCCCTTATCTGGAAAGCCCCTTGTTAATGGAGCTGGTGGCCCCCTGGCCCCTGCCTATCTTGGGGACTTTATGTCAGGAGAATGCAACTGCCAGGAAGGGGAATGAGTGAGGGGTCCTAGCAACTTCTTTAGCCCTTTCCCGCTCCATCCACCAGGACAAGAGGCAGGGCCTGGCATGGTGTGAGCAGTCTGCACAGCTCTGCACACAGAGACTGAACTTGGGTTGGGGTACAGGGCCTCTGGCGAGGATTTTAGAGGGGACATTCCTTGGCAGCAAGATTGCTGAGTCCTAGGGGCAGTGTGCACAGTTGGGAAGCTGTGCCCTGCATACTGAGTGTCTCTGCCTCTGAGGCTCTTGGGTTGACTGGGCCAGAATGAGTCTCTGTGCCTCAGTTTTCCCAGCCTGAAAATGGGGAGACTTGCTCCTCTTGCTTTGAGGGTGTCTGGAAGACTGACTGAAGCAGCACCCGTGAACGGTTTGGTTCTGTGTTTCCTGGGAAATGGGAACCTTGTCTCAACCCATGGTTAGTGGCAATTTGTGAAAGGAAGAATGGTGTCCCGTTCTCTCTGAATGTCAGAGCTCCACATGCATGGGGGAGAGTGTGTGTGTGCAAGGAGGCACAGCACTGGGAAAGACCCAGGCTGCACTGCTGGTGTCTGTGGGCCACTCCTGTCTTCCTGCCTGGGCCCTCACATGCGCCTGGGCACACGTCCCATGTCACCTGAAGAGTGTGATGAAGACACTGTTCAGGCCGACTTCAGGGTTTTGTGTGCGTGTGCATGTAAGGCTCTAGTCTGCAGAGGACTGGTGTGTCTGTGGTGCCTTTGTTTTTATGTCTGTGTGTGTGCTGTTGGCTGTGTGCATGTATGTACATGCATGTAGGAGATGTGAGCACACACCTGTGCACATGTGTTTACACAGCTGTCCCGAGATGCTTCTGCACACTGTGCCTGTGTTTGGGGAGGTGAAGAGTCAAAAGTGGCCCTGGAGGCACTGGTGACCTCAGGCTCTGGGTTCTGTTGCAGGGTGGGCCGGGTCCATAGGGTCCTCTGGTTGGCGAGTCTTCTTTGCTCAGAGGAAGGTGGTGCCATTACTGCTGCCTCCCCTTGACTTATGTTCTCCCAAATAATCAGTTCATCTGATGCCAGCACTTTGCCAAATGTTAATTTTAATATTTTAATATTAATATGGCTTGCAGATGTCTTGAGGTCCTGAGGGTGGGTCTGCCTGGGGGCCCCTGTCACGGATAGCACTGCAGCCATTGTGGCACAGAGCCAGCCTGCAGACCAGGTGGGAAGGGACAGGAAGAGCAGGCAGCCTGAGTGAGGCAGTCTGGGTTCCCACCCTGGCTCTAACTCCTATCAGCTATGCATCAGATGGCCTGTGCCTCAGTTTCTCCACCTGTAGGGAAGGGATCTGAGGGCTCTATAGGAAGCAATGAGTAAGCCCTGTTACTGCTGTGATGGGTCCCTGAGATGCCAAAGGCTATAGTTAGGGGCTCTTGGCTCTCTGCTGCTGGCTTTGTGAGTCACCCCCTGGCTCTCCTGTGAGGGGCTGCCTTAGGGTCTCCCTCATGGGGTGAGCATGGGAGGAGGGAGCATAGAGTGCCCACTGGTGAGTCTACCCCCACCACTCACTTGACCTCCAGGGTCCTATGTGAATCCATGGAGGTCTGTCCTTATGCAGCCAGAGCCAGGCCAAGTCCATGACCTCCCTCCACTGTACAAGGAGGGACTCGGGTCTGGGGTGGAAGGGACCTATGCATGT